CCGGTAGAATTACCAGCACAACGAGGGATTGAACCCAGGAGTCCTGACTCCTGCCCCTGCCCCGGGCCATGGTGCCTTTGACTGCCCATTCTGCGTGTGAGATGCCCCTGCCAGCCCAGGATCTAAGCCCGGTCGTCTGCTCTCCCTCGCCCCACTGACAGAGCAGGAAGCTGGGACACAGGAGGAAGGATACCCCCACCCCGGTAGAATTACCAGCACAACGAGGGATTGAACCCAGGAGTCCTGACTCCTGCCCCTGCCCCGGGCCATGGTGCCTTTGACTGCCCATTCTGCGTGTGAGTATGGGCACGGGCAGCCAGTCCACACCCTCCACTGCAGCCAAGAACCAGGGCAACCCTCCATACCAGGGAGGGAGTTAAGGCCTGGAGCGACTAGCCAGGGGTTGGGTTGTGGGGGTGCTTGGAGCCTGTTGGTGCTCTGGCTCTACCAGGAGTGGGAGGCTGGGTTGAGGAGTGGGCGTGGGGTCAGGGCCCCTGAAAAGGCAGCTGCTGGCCCAGCCTGCCCCCCCCTCCTCCCCCTTCCCGTCCTTTCCTACAAGTCACACACACACCCCCGCCACATAGAAAGCGCAGGTACCGCATTTCCGCTCCACGAGGGGCACCGGCTTCCTGTGCACCTGTCTCCCGCGCCCTGGGGCGCTGCCCCCGCTCAGTACGGGTGGGAAGGGCCCGGGGAGAACAGCCCCATGTAGAATAAAACTGGCGTGAGAGAAGAGTCCATCCTCCATACCACACCACTTCCACTGCACCCCCAGGCCAAGCCTCGATTTGATAGGATGCAGCTAGCTCTGGGTGGTGCCTCTACACAGTAGCCAGCGATGGGGGACAACATGGATTAACAGCCCTTCAAGACGCTGCATCCCCCAAGCCCTCTCTGCTTGCTTGCCACTGATTGCAAAATATGCCAGCTCTCCCACCGGGCGGCTAGTCCCCGGGGACCCTTCAATCTTGTCACTTTGGGGGAGCATGTCTGAAAGCCAGGCCTTTGTCAATCCCCCGCCTCCGTTCAGTTCTATCGCTGGCCCTCGCCCCCACGCTGCTGGTTCTGCAGTGGACTGTCCTTGGCTGGTCTCTGGTTAAACAGGCCCCTTGGCTTACGTGCGAAACCAGCGGCAACCCATGGAAAATGCAGATCCTGCAGCTGAGATGCTGAGCCAACGGCAGCCGGACCCAATGGGCACTGCGGGGAGGCAGGATGCCTCGGACAACCAGAGGCTGCCCCCACTGAGAGGGAAGGGGGCTGCAGGGTTAAGAGATCAGGGTTACTCTGCCACTAACTCACTGGTGACCGTGGCCATGTCATTTTCGCTAGCCCTGGCCTCAGTTTCCCCATCTGCAAAATGGGGATGACAATCCTGCCTTGGTCTGTGTGATCAATTCAGCATGACAGAGATTGTCTGTCGCTGAGTCTGAGCAGTGCCCAGCCCAGTGGGGCCCTGGTTGTGCTACCGGAATCCACCTATGCAGCAGCCCCGAAGCTGGGCTCCCCTGCCTCTGGAGGAAAGCCAAACAGGCCTGCCGTGGGGTAGGGGAGAGTTGGCGGCTGCTTGCTAAAGAGATCAGAGGAGCCCGAGGCTGAAGAGCAGGGAGGAAGACCCGATGTGACTCTCCGGGCCAGGCTTCACTGCTGCAAACCTTCCCAAAGGGAAACCAAACCCTCCAGAGATGGCACCCATGGGTGCTGACCCGTCCTGTGCCTCCCACAAACAACGCCGCCAACCTTCCCGTCTTCTCTACCCAGCCAGTTGCACAGCCCCTTGTTTGCTGATGGGCATTGGGAACCCTGGCACCTTGTCCTACAGCTGACACTTCGGGGGCGTGAATATCTGGGACAGGCGGGGTGGTCCTGAGCCCCTGAAACAGGCCAGCTGGCAGCGTGTGCCACACAAGACTTCCTGGGACAGGCACCCGCAGAGCAGGCCCATGGTGGGAAAACGCAGACAGTCCAGCCTTCCCAAGAGTTGAGAGTCCCAGCTACCACCTCTCTGTTTTTCCTCCATCCTGGGCAGCCTTGCTGGCTCCCCCAGACGCTGTTTTGAAAGCTTGTGAACTGGGGCTGGGCTGGCGACACACGACATGTGGCTGGAATCGCCGGCTCAGCGCCTTTGCCTCCCACCACCTCCTGCACCCGGCCCTTCAGACAGTCCAGCCTTCCCAAGAGTTGAGAGTCCCAGCTACCACCTCTCTGTTTTTCCTCCATCCTGGGCAGCCTTGCTGGCTCCCCCAGACGCTGTTTTGAAAGCTTGTGAACTGGGGCTGGGCTGGCGACACACGACATGTGGCTGGAATCGCCGGCTCAGCGCCTTTGCCTCCCACCACCTCCTGCACCCGGCCCTTGCCGCCCTCTGCATCTGTACGGGATGCCCAGGCAGTAGTGCCCGTGTGACTCTGAGGGTTTTTTGTGCCAGCTTGTGCTATTTGGGGGAGGGGGCTTTACAGACATACCCCCCCCCCCCCCTTGCTCTGAGCTGCAGCTCATCAGCGCTTCAGTCCTAGCGCAGCAGGCAGCCTGTGACTGGCAAGCCCCCCCGGCAGCCGGTAACTTGTCCCCAGCTAAGGGCCCCTTCCCTGGCCAGTCCCTCCCCTTCCTGGAGCAGGACCTCCTGCAACTTTGGTGGCAGCTTCTCAGCAGCTGCTGCCAGAGGAGGAGGGTCCTGGGACAGCTCAGCCCACGTCAGCCACTCTAGTGACACCTCCCCGGCCATGTGACAGGCAGCTAGGGCTGGCCCTGGGCACAGAGCTGCGCTGTCGGTTGGAGGCCTCCAGACTGCAAGGTTCTTGGTGGGAGGAGAGTACGGTCTAGTGGTTAGAGCAGGGTTCCGTTCCCAGATCTGGGAGGCTCTTCGGCACAGCCAGGATGAGCTAGGAGTGCATCACGGCGGCCGTGGAGTCTGGCTGGTGCTCGTTGGTCTGTGTGGTACCAGCAGGGTTACCTGAGCACATGCTGGTCTCTCCACTACCTCAGCACCCTGGGGTGTGCTTAAGCCTGTTGCATCTCCATCCTTGTCCCGTGTGGCATGAAGATAGGTGTCACCCTCAAGAGAGTCCTTGTGGATAATTCCCTGAAAACATCCATGCAGTGTGCAGCGGCAGACAAAAAATGTTAGGAATCATTTAAAAGGGGATCGAGAATAAGACAGAGAATATCTTATTGGCTCTCTGTAAAACCATGGGATGTCCACATCTTGAATACTGTGTAGAGATGTAGTCGCCTCATCTGAAAAAAAATAAAATAAAAAAATCTTGGCCTTGGAAAATGTTCAGAAAAGGCAACATAGCAAAAATGATTAGGGGTTTGGAACGGCTGCCATATGAAGAGAAAGGGATCACCTGATGATTTCCTGTTCTGTTAATTCCCTTTGGGTGTCTGGCCTTGGCCACTGTCGGCAGACAGGACACGGGGCTAGACGGACCTTTGGTCATTCTTACGCCCCATTAGCTCTAATCTGAACTTTCCTGTAACCTCCCCATTTCCCCCCCCAAGTCCACCGCCCGCACCAGGCGGCAGGATGGCCCAGCGGAGGGGCAGTGCAGGCCGGGGTTCAGTGCCCTGCCCTGGTAGCTGATTACAAGCATGTCACTGGGTGACTCGGTGCCTCAGTTTCCCTCTTGTGGCAGTTCCCCCGGGGGGGCCACAAAAGGGTTCGATTATCAGCCCACCGTCCAAGGGAATGCTGGGAGGTGATGACATCATGTTCCTATGACATCATCAGAAGCGTGGGGGGGGTGCCCTGGCACCTGAGGGGTAAGGTGTGCTCCCCACGTGACATGTCCAGGGGGGAGGGGTGTGACGTGAGCGGCTGCAGTGATGTCACCCTGGCACCCACACACCCTCTGAGGTCATGGTGTGTGGTGATGACATCACAACGCGGTGACGTTTCCATGACACGTGGCCATTTGGGAACGTATAAGGGGGAGGGGATGAGATGAATGGGGGGGAGCGGCCCATGCTACGGTAACCATAGCAACCACGGCCAGCCCAGCCGCCACTCCCACGGGCACCATAG